TTTTTTTTTTTTTTTTTTTTTTTAAGGCTGCGCTTTTAAAAAGATGAAATTGTCCAAAGAGCAGTTCCAAACGAAGTTTTTGTTTTGTTTTACACTTGTGTAAACAAAATGACAAATAATCTGTCTAAGTCTAAGTCTACATAATTCAGCATTGGAGCAATGGATAATGTTGGAGGTGTAAAATAGGCTAATGTGTAAAAAAAATAAACAGACTCTCTACATTTAAAGGTATAATGGAAGATTTCAACAATTTTGATTTTTCAAAAGACCTGCCCTCTCCACTTAAAAAAAAAAAAATGCACATGCACAACCCTGTACCTGCTCCTGAGAGAGAACGTCTATTAAACAGTGTGCGCTAGAGTGTGCACTAGCCGATTTCTCCTGGTGCACACTCTGTTTTAAGCTGCTTTTTGCATCGCTCATACAAGATTACTTTCCAAAAGAAGGTTTGCAATTTTTCCAATATGTCAGATTCACCATCTGTAAGTGAACATAGAGACAACCACGTAGGACTGCCTTACGTAAACATATATCCAGAATGATTGACAATTAGGAGGACCCCTTATTTTGATGATCCACCCGGAAAAAGAACATCCTCCACTATTCCTTTATTTCTACACAAAAAACAAGAAAAAGTATAAATTATTATCTTTACTCTTGTTAGGGCAAATAAAATTAGGCTATAATCTAGTTATACATATTGGTATCAGATAATGTATGTTAGATGGATCTAAATGTTAACTGAAACATTTAGTCCTGTCCTCTCAAAGTGTATGTGTCGTAAATGTCAATAGGGATGAAGAGTGTCATGTTACATATTACACAGTAACATGACACACCTGTGTTACCTGTGCTGCGACGCTACTGCTTCATTTGTTTTCTTTTTAATAGATAGTGTAATTTTTAAAAAGCCCAATGTGGTCAAATTACCCCCCCCCCCAAAAAAATGTTTTAGTATTATAAGTTTAATAGTTGGGTGTTTGCTATCTTATCACGAGGCAACATTTCAACTTCTGCAAGACAAAATTAAATTGTTTCATCTTCTGTAAGAAATACTGTCAAAATCTCTTTTAAATGAAACATTTACAGCTGTTTAAAAGGATCTCCTTTGTTGGTTTATTTGTTTATCTTAAGTTATTGGGTATCTGGAGAAATATAATGGAAATAAAAACGTACCTTTCTTTTGTTTAATCTGTATGGTAATCATGAAACTATTGTTGCTCTCTTTTGCGCTATCACGTAATAGTTTCAATTTCAATTACGATCATTTTCATTAATCGGCAGGAAACAAAAGAGATGCCATAAACAATGTTTTTTTGTTGATGTTATATGGTTATTTTTTTCCAACTAATTAAATTTTTCATGTTAGATAATGTTCCAGTGATGATGCAGTAATTCTAGTCAAAACCTGCAGAAAATGTGAGAGCTCTTTAAGAGTGATTAATTGTTTTTCATAGAAAACAATTCAACATGCTCTAAAAGTATGTGATTCTTGTTTCTTTGTTGTTTTGGTTTAGTGGAAGTTGAACTCATGGCCCCAGAACATTTCTTTTCCTGATTACTCCGATTCAAATGCTTAGAAAGTTAGAGGAAGTTTCAGTCTAATGGGAAAGCAATGCAGGTAAAAAGTACAACCTGGCCGTGAATGATTGTAGTAATAAATCAGCACTTCATGGAAAGACTCAGCATATCGACCTACCTTAACGCATCTAACATTGATCCCAGGACACACAAACTTCTTAAACAGCAGCACAGCTCTGCTTTCTCCACAAGTGATTGGGTAGCCGTACTCCGTCTTTCTTCCCTCTGCTTTACAGTCACCTTTACAGGACACAGCAAAAACAAAAAAGTGATCTCTTGCAGGAATTATGATTATATCCACTGCTAGAAAGTCAAGTGATTTAACAGCCAACAAGAAGATCAGGTAATGCAGATATCAACTCAGATGTTTTATAAAAGAGGTTCTTTTCATAAGCTGATAACATTTGAAAGAGATATTGTTTGGTGTTTGCATATCTTTACTTACTTTGATGGGTCTCTATGGCAAAGACTGTGGTGGTGGTCCCAGCAGTGACATCATTCAACCTGTAGAGGGCGACATATTGACATAAAATGTTTCTGTTTTGTTTTGTTTTTTCTACCACTGCACACATCCCAGTGTGGTTACCCTGAGACCATATTATACATAATATACAACACTAATACTTGCTTTCTGTACTATTTGGTTGGGTTTTTTTTAAATGATGCAAAATAAAAATAATGAGTTTTATACTTCAACAGTTATTTTAGCTGAACTAAACCTTGAACGTGAGAGAGAATTTCTGAAGAGGCTCTGGTTATTAAAACATATGACTTAAAAAGAAAGACTTGGATTTAAACTTGCAGACAGAGAGCTGGCTAGTACCACTGAAGACACTAAGAAATTTTCTCACCCATTTCGCTGCAGGATGACTCGTCTCCTATGGTCGTCACCCATGCACCCCTCAGCTTCTCCTTTAAGCATCTTTATTTGTCCTGAAGGCTCAGTGACCTCTGTGGAAGCAGCCATCACTTCTCACCAACAGGGCTGCATGCAGACAGCAAATTGTCCTAATGCTTAGATGATTGACTTTTACAAACCATATAGATTAAAAAGATTTTCCTGTTGAGATTATGTGTTCCTGGATTAATTTACATTAATAGAATGGTGGGGCGTCCTAGATTTTAATGAAGTATACACCAAGATGATGGGATAGCAGTCCTTATCTTCAAAGAAATACAAACCTGAGGCCTATATAAAAGGTTTGGAGGTTCTGTGACATGTAAAATTCATGGTAGAAAATATAAAATTAATGATAGATTATATCAGATGACTTTAGCATTTTTTTCTTGACAATTTAACAAAATAAAAATCCTCGTGGTCGCAAATTTGAAAAGTTTTAACATGCGGAAACACCCTCTGATTTAATCTCACCGTTGAGTGGTTTAACTTACAGTTTATACCGGTCATTTAGAGGAAATCTGTAAAGCTCACCTCTGATTATTGCATGATTTTACAGTCTGGAAGAGACCAAATATTCCCCTGTAATATATCATCCTTAAAAACAGAATGCTGAAAATTATGTCTAGCCTTCTCAAAAATCAATGGATTTGTCTTTGTTAATGAACTACAAGTCTGTAGGTACAAGTTTAAAGGTCTCCTTGTCATCTAATCTCTAGCTCCTTTCAAAGATTAAAATTAAGAGACAATTATAACGTTCATTTTTATCAGGGATGTAAATAGTTTTGGAATTTTCTGTGTTCAAATTAAGAATGTCTTTCAAATTTATTTATTGCTTTTTTAATTGTGATATAATAATAGCTGAGATTATAAGTTTTTTCAAAATTGTTATAAACCTTTAATGCACAATTCAAATGGATAAACTAATACATATGTATAATCTATGAGGTTGAAAGTCACACAGAAGAAGCTTTGGGCCAAATTAAATGTGAAAACTTGGCCATTATTCTAAAAGGTATGTTTTGGAACAAAAATAACATCAAAGCTGCAGGAAATGTGGTGCTGTTCATTCAGGTAGACACATCATGAATGCTGCTTAGATGAGGCTTAGGAAGCTGAAGCTAAGGAGGAGCTTTATCTTTAGCAAATAGAGTAAATTGATTCTTTCAAATTCAGATATCCCTGATGTGCAAAAATAAAAAGTAAACTAGAAATCTGCCAAATTTAACGCTTTAAATAAATTATAAAGATGAATTTTACCATAAATGTATTAATTGGTTTGACCATAAAGGGGAAAAGGCATGATACCTTTTTTTGGAAAAAAAAAAAAATAATAATAATAATTACAGTTCTTATGTTCTTTTCAAATATAACCTTTTTTCACTTCAATGAAAGAGGCGTCTAATTACAGTGTCAGACAGGCTATAATATCCTAAACATTTTCCACAGTATTCTTCAAATGAGTCTATATTGGATTAGCATACCCAGAGAGTTGCGTGCCTTTTCAACCCTGTTCACCGCCTCACTGACGTCTGTTGGTGCGGCATCACGCACACTCCGCCGCGCGCTCCTGTCCCATCTTCACAGGAACACAACAACAACAAACCTAGCCGGATTTTACTTCTCGTTGAGCTACTCTACGTTTAAAACGATGCAAAATATTTAATGAAATGTTAAATCTAGTTTTGTCCTCTCGTTAGAAAGGAGTCTCGCTGTGTCGCTGCCCTTCCTGCAGCCAAAGCAGCATTTGCCTGAGAAGCATCTGTCCCGCTGTCACGAGAAGCGCTCTGTTGGCACGCGATCTGCAACTCGGTCAAACTGCTCCCGTGAGGCTGGGGTTGCGCTCCACTGTCATTATTTTATTTATCCAAGTTTTAAATTCGTTCACTACTACTAAAAAACACACAATTCTTCATAAAACATGCTGCACTATTTAATGACTTTCATTCTTGCTGCTAACCTACTGTACTTCACACAGGAGCGGCATGTTCTGTGTGTTCCTGCGCTGCATGAGTTTCTCCACTAGATGGCAGTGTTAGCTATAAAGTACATGGCAGCTCTAAGCAAATTAAAAGAAGCCTTTACAAAGTATTTCCCTCCCCTGTTTGCATGCTAATAGTTAATTTAGTAACTTTTTATACTGTTAAATTTAATAAAATGAAATACAGTATCTAGTCACTGCATCGTTTCAGATCAGCAGATGCAAAAAAAAAAAAAAAGAGAAAGCTAACTCCCCCTTCCCTCCCTGTCTATGGGCTTCCTATTATGCCAAACACATTTGTAGCTAAGGCCCCTGCAGGGAAGCATTAAGGCATGCCGTTTTGACATTAATTAGAAGCCCTGTTAAATCAGAATCAGAAATTCGTTAATAATTCCAGAGGGAAATTATTTGTCACATGCTCCAGATACAAAAATGTATATATATACATATATATATATATATATATATATATATATATATATATATATATATATATATATATATATATATATATATNTAGGGGTGGGTATTGCCAAAGACGTCACGATTCGATTCAAATCACGATTCACAGGCCACGATGCGATTCTATCACGATGCATCACGATACTTGAATTATTGCGATGCAGTGCAATATTTTCTCCTCCATGTTTTGTTTTTGAATGACTCGCCGCAGTATCCCGCGGCCGGAAATGCTTGTTACACAAGGCAGCATGCTTCAACACATCCGCAGCGACATCTACTGGACTGCAAGTTGTATTACACTTGTTTTTGGCTGATGTTCGCCAACCATTCATGCAATTTTATTTATTTATTTTTTTTAATTAATAATCGATACTTGGTGTCAAGAATCGATGCAGTAGATCAAATTTGGCCTTTTTGACATTTATTAGCTTGACTCAATATGTAATCGGGGTGTCTCAAATGCATCTGGATACTATTAAAGATATCTGAAATATATCTCCGGTCAAGTAAATATATGTAAAAGCGGGCACTTAAAGTAAGTAAAGATTTGTAGATATCTTAAATGTAGTTGTTACTAGTACAAACTTGTTCCAGAATACTTAAAAAATAATTTCTAGTGGTAGAAATGTAATTAGTGATATCTGAAATACAACTCTGACTAGGAATATTGTAAATGAGGCAGGGTAGAATGCTTTAGTTCTATCTATAATAGAAATGTGACTAGTCAGCCTGCTTATGTTATGTTAAAATGGAGCCTCATTGCTCTTTTGCTAAATTTTAGATAGGCATTATTAAAATTGAGATATCTTTAATTCTAATTTAACTAGTCATAAAATAAGTAGTTGATATCTGTAATGAAATTTCTACTAGCAGAAATATTTTTTAGATGTCAAGAATTGCATTTCTGGATATCTAGAATGTCATATTATGAAATGTTCATTTTGACTAGGAAAAAATGCATTTGATACGTCTGGATTACATATTCAGTCAAGCTAATAAATGTCTACATGGCCTGCCATAGTATTGTGTATTTATTGCTGAGCTTTGGTCTTGGTGGTACAAAAGCCTGAAACAGAAGATAATAATAGAAAGCGGTTGGAAATAATAGTCAGTGGTAACTGAGATGCTAAAAAAAAAAAGGGCTATACAAGTACAGGCCATTTACAATAAACCAGAGGTTCCCAATCCTGGTTCACAGGGACCCTTGCACAGCATGTTTTATATGTCTCTGATCTGGATCATCTGATTCAAATTAGGGCTCCCCCTCTGCAATCAAGTGCTGTAGAACCCTGTTAATCATCCATTCTTTTCTGGTGTGATGCAAAAGGGAAACATCTCAAACCTGCAGAACAGGGTTTACTAAGAAATAGAGTTGGGAACCCCTGATACAAACTATTGTTACAAAATTAGTTCAATATGTATATTTTTGAGCCTTTAATTTGGCCTCCTATTTATTGCACCCGTTAATCGTAGATTCAAAGTTAAAGGCCAATATTCCCTCTTTTTCTTTAGAAATAGACCAGAAGTATGTTTTTCTGCTTACACAAAAAGTAACTAACTTTGTTTGGCCAATATTTACGTTTATTTCACAAACATTCTGCACTAGGAACTGAACTTAAGTTGATGTACTTTTACTTGAATTATCTTTTTATTTTATTTATTTGCTCTATTTCCATCAACATAGTACCAAGTACTGTACAACAGTGAATTGACGCTGTAATGTGTCAATCATCAGAGGTGGTACATCAGGTGGGATCAGATTTCAGAGCGGGTTTTTAAATTATTATTATCTATTTAAGTAAGGTTGATATGATGTGAGTGATACTAAAAACTGAATACAAAGTATTTCTTTGTAACAAACCTGGCCATTAAAGTTTATTCTGAAAAATGTGGCAGTGGCTCCAAGGATGAGGCTAAAGGCATTGGGAGTTAAAAGTTATCAAAAGAATCTTTCTCACAGCATGTAAGTATGGCCAAGCTTCAAAATGAGACTTTCCGACATAAAACAAAAGGTAAGCACCAGACCACGATTTCACTGAGAATTATAACATTTGATCTGTAACCAACCAAAACCTACAAAACAATCTTTTGGAGCCTTGGTGCGTAGTCCACAGGAACTCAGCCATTTTGAAATAAAAGCAATTCTTGGTGTTTTTAAACTCATTTTATATCTGAACAAACTCGTCTAACAGCTTTTAAGTAACATACTTCTAATTGACTTAGCAAAGACAAGGCATTATGGATCAAACATTATCAAGAGCTTTCTGCTGCATCAAAGGATGTGGGCATGGCCAAGCCTCCCAATTTGGACTTTTTGCTGTAAGTCAACAAACAATCAGCCCTATTCTTTTATTGAGGATTACAAAATTTGGTACTCATGTGTAACCTACCAGGCCACACAAAAAATATCTAATATTAAAACTTTAATATGCAAGGTCAGAGGAGTATTAAAGTTCTGTGTGTCATCTCAGACCAGAATTCATCATATAGAGGTTCCCACTGATAACATCACTTTAGCCCCGCCCCCTGAGAACAGGAAGTCCATTTTTACTGCTGGAAGTTCTTTGTTTTTACTTTGAATTCAATTCAATTCTTAACATTGAATGCTGGACCATGTGGACATTGCAAGGAGGCAAAATTCTATATCTGAACATTTCGTCAACGTTTTGCTCTAAATAGCATATGGATAATCTGATTTGCTTCAAACTTCATATGAAAGATCTTTGAGTCTTTAAGAAGAGGCTCCTCTGATGACATGGAACTTATACTTAACTATGCCCCTATGAAATTCAAAATGTGGACAATTGCTATTTGGAAGTTGTATTTGGGCCAAATCGGCATAACAACACATATCTTCCATATTCACAATAGGCTGAACAGATCGGACTGGGAACGATTTTCGGCCCTGCATTTCATTTTTCCATCTACACCCCCCGTGCCTTGCACTGCTTATGGTTAGCGTGCACAACCCATGTACGGAGGCCTTAGTCTTCAACGCGGCCGACAAGGGTTCGAATCTGGCCTGTGGTCCTTTGCCGCATGTCTCTCCCCCTCTCTCATACCCCCTTACCTATCAGAAAAACGTGCCACTAGGGCCGTACTCAAAAAAAAAAAAAAAACTCAAAAAAAGAAGAAAAAGGATTTGTAACATTTATTTCTGCAAAAGTACCAATAGGAATAAAACTGCACTCACTTTAGTTTTACGTTTTTAAATAAAATTGTCAGTTTTCATCCCCCCATTCAACTTAATCATCAATTCATACAGTTGTGTTTAATTTTCTCCTTATGTTTTTTTTTTCTTTTTAGCTTTAACTCCCTTTTTTTTATCTATCAACCTTTCAAGCTATATATTTAATTCAACACGTATATTATCTATAGGCCTACTATACTATTTGTTTAATGTTTTTCTTCCTTGATTCTTAAAATAGTTTATAATCTTTAAAACTCTTGGTAAGTCTGCTAGAGTAGATAAATACAGACACATCTGGAACCCCATACACTTTGAATGGAATGTCAGGGATCATTTGATTGGCAGTCAAGCCAACCAATAGAACGTCGACTTTGCGACTCGTGGCCAATAGGAAACACGCAGCACTCAGCTGCTTTTTTTTCTTTTATTGAAGCGATAAGTCGCCCCATCGAAGTATGCACCTTACTTTTTCCCTCGGACAGGGCTGGAAACCATGCCTGGAAAGAGGAGAAACACGGACGATGGAGTAAAGTTTCTTTCCGCCAGTTTGTGGATTACCTTCAGCGTCTGTTTAGTCGGTGTTCGCTGTCAGGAGGGTAAGAAAAAGCCGTTTGTCGTTGACTTTTTGGGGGGTAAAATAGTGATTTTGACGTTACACCGTATGTCTAACATGTTTGCCTGTTGATGAAAAAATATATAGTTATTAAAAATGTATTATTACAGACTAATATGTGATCGATCCAGATAATTATCTGAAGCAACAACTATTTCTGAAACTGGGGCATATTTTATACAGTTTACGGTTTCCAACAGGTTGCAAACATATACTGCTGTTTAAAAAAAAAGTCAAAATAAACTCCAACTGAAAGTATTTTTAATATTACAGCATTTTGTTGAAGCACCATAGGTGCAAAGGTCGCCCAGTTAGTATGCAGCAGACATTCTTTGCAGGCTGTTTCCTTGTCCATCTGTTGACCTGCTGCTCCCAGCTTTCCTCACCAAAAGCTTTTCAATACTATATCCAAGCATGAATCACAGTGACCATATTTACACACAAAGACACAACGAAGCAAATGATCACTCCTGCCTAGACTATGACAACAACTCACAGCCACACCACAAATCTTCTTTTGTTGTTTTCGTCTGGCTCTTTGGTTTCCTCACATACCTGAATCATTTTTATTAAATGATAATCTCTCATAGCTCTGGTTAGGACAGGTTTAGGTTTTTTTTTTTATTGATTGTCTTATTTTAAGAGCAGAAGGCTATGGAGTGACAGGCAGGACAGGTGAACATCCTGTCTGCTTGCTTAGACCTGTAAAGACCTGCCAGAAATT